CCCTTATATTCCGTAGGCTGACACTCAACTTGATTCCACTGGATGCTGCCTCATGCCCAGATGCAGGCATGCATTCCTGACAAACTTCAATTTTCTCATTATGTCAATCTGTCCCATCACTGGTGATGTTGACCTTGATCATCTACTCATGTTGATGTCTTCACTGTAAAACTACTACTTTTCTTTTTAACTGTTGGAAAATGTTCCAATAATATGCTAAAATCCTGTTCCTCATTGAAACTTCACCCATTCTTAGCCTCCATTGACAACTCCAGTCTGAACCACTAACAGGTTGGTAAGTGATTTTCTGTTTATATCATTCCTTTTACATTTATTGGTTGGCATTATACTGCAAAGGAAGAGCTTTTTTCTCTCCCTACTGATTTATATCATGATGAGCTCATGGATTCCTATTTTACTTAATAGGTTATAATCTGTTACTGTAATATTTATTTTCATGCTCAAATTGTCCTCAGCATGGCCAACGGGAGCCTCTTTGAGCCAGTTTCTTTATCCTTTTAGCATGGCCCTATCACTTTTTGAGCCTTTCCTTAATTTCTGCACAAGATGTTCTAGGCTTATCTTGTAGTTTTCCTGCTTCAGCCCTAAAATCTGACATTTCTTCAGAGTCTTGGTTCCTCTTTTTTTCCCATATAAATATTTTTTGAAACTTTTGAACTTTATTATTTTTTAGAGCAGTTTAAGGTTCACAGCAAAAGTGAGAGGGAGGTACAGAGATTTCCATATACCCCTACATAGGCTCCCCATTATTAACATTCCCCATGGTATATTTGCTATGATTGATAGACACATCATAATCACCCAAAGTCCATAGTTTGCATTACAGTTCACTCTTGGTCTATTATTATGGATCATACAGTCTTGGTTCCTTTTAGTGGAGCATGGTATTAGAAACCAAAATCTGTATACTCAGTGTGCTCATAGCTACTGAGGTATCACTGCATGTCTATCGTCTCAGAGGACAGAACTAGGAAATGTATATAACGTACACATAATATTAAATATTATATATTTCCTAGCATATATATTTAATATCTGATATATATTATATATGATATTTATAGACATACATATATAGTTGAGCCTTGAATAACACTAGTTTGAACTGCATGGGTCCACTTATACTCAGATATTTTTTCAATAAATACGTACTACAGTACTACACCATCTGAGGTTGGTTGAATCCAAGGATGTGGAACCACAGATATGAGGGCTGACTATAAAGTTATACTCAGCTTTTCAACTGAGCAGTGGGTCAGTGCCTCTAATCCTCACATTTTTCAAGGGTCAACTATATATATTTCTATATTTGTTTACATTTTTAAAAATGAGTTCCTAATGATACCTATATTTCCAATCCAACACCTCAGGGTTCTTTCTAGCCTTCCCCTTTTCCATATTAGTATTTTCTCCAACAGTGGGAAATCTGGTCATCATTATTCAACATAATCAATTGTCCAACCACACCAGTCTTCTCTCTCTGCCACCCGCATGCCTCTCCCTTCAGCATCCATGTTCTTGCCCACATTAATGTTGTGTCTCATAGCAGGAAGGGAGGAGAAATGGAATAGAAAAATGGAAGGGAAGGGAAGGTGAGATGAGAGGGAAAGGAAGATAGGAAGGAAGGAAAGAGTTTAATGTTAAGATAATGCCATAAACTGCCTTCAATTATTTATAGACGTTAATGTTAAGCTTATAGTAAGGCACTTTACTTAATTATCATACGTATACTTGGTCAGCAGCAATTCTGTGCAACTTCTGTGCAACTGTTGCAAAGTCTTGGGCTTCTATCTAAACATGGGCTCATGGTAAAAAGTTGAGAGTTTAGTGGCAGTGTTAAGAGTGTGGCTGCAAATGGCAAACAGGTGAGGTTTAATAATGAGAGGTCTGAAGATAAAGACAGACCTGTGCTTTAATTTTGGTTCCTCTTCTACATATGGCCAAAAGCAAGTTACTTATCAGCTGTCTCAGATTCTTCATCTGTGAAATGGCTACAATATTTGCTTTGCAAGATTGCTATTAACGTTCATTGGACATAATAGGGAGTTAGGTTAATTACTGTTATTGTTAGTTTGAGTTAGTGCTCAAAAAATTATACTGTTGTCTTCCCACACATCCCCTGTTGCTCCTTTGATTGTTATATGGAGATCCAGAATTACTAAGCTATAGTATCCTCATGGCACAGTGCACACACACACACACACACACACACACACACACACACACACACACAGAGGCTGGAACCACATGTATGCTATACCTTTAAGTGTCTCTTTTGATCAAAATGACTTTTTCTCAGGTTGAAATTCTGTATGAATTCTAACTGGTTTCCTTGGATAAAAGTGTGGCAAATAAAAATATTTCTATATAATCTTGGTGTCCTTGTTTGAAAACAACAAGAATTCTAATTATAATGCATATCTATTGTTTTGTCTTCCCTTTTCTTGTGGGAAATGTTCTTTCTGCACTTCAGTAATGTAGTTCAATGGCGGTGTACACGTTATGTTCTTACAGACCCTCATCATTTGGTTCAGGGATGGGCACTTAGCTGGACCAATGAACTGTCCTTCCCCAGGAATTGTTGAGACCAGAGATCATCGCCTTCAGCCTGTCTGATGGTGAGGCTGAAGATATGACCTTGAGAGCTAACAGGGGCCTTGTCTCCAGCCATGTGGAGGAAGCTGGTGGGACAACAAGAAGCTGATGTGCAGAGAGAAGCAGAGCAGAGGGATGGGGGCAGAGAGGGGACTCTGGTTCCAGCAATTCCTGGGGCCCACTGAACCACTACCCTTGTCACAGTTTGTTCATGTCGACAGTCCATTCCTCCCTTTTGTCTACTAGCTTAGTTGGTAACCAAGAGAGGTCTGACTGCCTTATGTATCTCAAAGGGTTTGTTGTGAGGACCAATGCCTGGCACATAGTAGGGACTCAACAAATATTGGTTGATTACTCTTAGGTTTAACCTCCAAATGAAAAATGAAAAAGGTTGGGGCAATTCTCAACTCTAGAAGTAACCTTCCTTTGAGCATCACAAAGGAAGACACAGAAAGACAAAAGGAGGGAGCCCTCCACCCACACCGCATACACCCACATCCCTCCAATCCTAACCCAGGTCTACTGCCTGGAGGTTCACATACCTGCCCGGAAAGACCATCAGCACTTCCTTCAGTAAATCTCGAAGTCTACCTCTCAGAATCCTTCCTGCTTTTGCTGTACAACCCCTGAGGCTGGGTCTGGTGGTCCTGAACTGTGACCCACTGTGAGTGGTCTGCCACAGGCCTTACAGGGGATGTGAGTGCTCTGTCCTGTTGGGCGGGAGGGGTGGGGACTGGGGTATGAGCCTCCTTCAGATTCCATTCCTTGGGAGATAATATAGTCTAAACATATTTAAGAAAAAGCTTAAATATGCTCAGTTCTCAAGGTCAGCCCTTGAAATCAGTGGGCCTCCATTTTTGTTTTTTTTTACTATCCTAACCTGAGTTTTGGCAACTCAGGTTATTTTTTATTTTTTTTATTATTATTTTTAAATTTTGGCTGTGTTGGGTCTTCATTTCTGTGTGAGGGCTTTCTCCAGTTGCAGGCAAGCAGGGGCCACTCTTCATCGCGGTGCGCGGGCCTCTCACTATCGCGGCCTCTCTTGTTGCAGAGCACAGGGTCCAGACGTGCAGGCTCAGTAGTTGTGGCTCACGGGGCCTAGTTGCTCCGCGGCATGTGAGATCTTCCCAGACCAGGGCTCGAACCCGTGTCCCCTGCATTGATTGGCAGGCAGATTCTCAACCACTGCGCCACCAGGGAAGCCCGGGCCTCCATTATCGTGTCAAGACTTTGAATTCTCTCCTACCTCAGGTAACATGAGTGACACTGGTCAAATCAGTGACATCAGTCTTCAAGGGCTGCTCTCTCTACAGAGGATTCCACTTCGTTATTTTTATTCTAAGTCTCATTCTGATTGATGAGGCTTGGGGGAGGGCGTCTTCCCAACTCCTTCACTCACACAGATGGAAAAGAGACTGCTAGCATTCCTGAATGTATCATGTATCTAATCTATATGCAAGTCATCTGCATATTCTTTAAAATAGATTTCCTTGGGATTAGAGACACCATTAGTTCTACTCAGGCGATTCTAAAAGTGGTGACCTTTCTAACTTGTTATTTTCTACATAGTTCTTCATTTAGACAAAAAGCCAGGGATTACAGTGAGGAAAGGTGCTGTACTGATGGAAGCAGAGCTCAGTCCGAAGCAATTTAGCTCCGGCCAGATAAGCGTCCGACACGCAGTGTTATCAAGCCCTGTCTGTATCTGAACCGATTTCCCTTAGAGGAGAGTGTTGCAGCCTCCAGCCTAAGCAGGTTATTGAAGCAGTCCTTCCAGTCAAATGAAGAAGTTTCCCTGGGAGGGAGTGTGGCACAGTTAGAGCTTGCCTTTTTAATTTCAGTGATATTTCAGTACTTCCTCAAAACGTGCATCAGAAGTGCCCGCGTGGGGAACAAAAATGCGTATCCCTGGGCCGACTCCAAACACGCGGCACCAGAATCTCGGGGCAGGAGGGAGGGGGACGCCGAACTTGTATTTTCACAGGCGCCCAGGTAACTAACTCTTCAGCTCTGAGACCCGCTTTTGTCTGCACCGTACCCGGCCGGCGCTGGGCTCGCCACCTCGCCGTCAGGCGCTCGCTCCCGCTGCTCTCCTCCCTCAGCTCTGCGCCTTCTTTGTTGCCTCCCTCGGGGTCATTAGAACTCAGCTCCTTCTAAGGTTTCAGCCCCATTGCCCCGCGCAGCCGGCGGGACAAAGCCCGTGCGGCCCGCCACCCACGAGAGTTGCCACCCGCTGTCCGCGAGGGACGCCGCAACGCCCCCACGGCCGCCACCCAACAAGCCAAAGAGCCGCGGCCGCGCCGGAAGTGACGGCACCTGTCGTTGACGCGCCCCGCCCCTTCCGCCTCCGCGCCCCGCCCAGACCTCTCCCCTCCGCCCTCCCCGCCCCTCCCCCTCCCCTCCCTCACCCGCTTTCTGTCAGCCTTTCTCCCACTCCCTGTTCCCCTCTCTCCTTCCTCTAGCTTCCTCTTTCGCACCTGAGCAACGCACCTGCCTGGGCCCGGCTCCGCTCCCTCCTCCCTTCCCCTCGCCCCGGCCGGAAGGCTTCGGCCTCCGCCGCGGGAGCTTGGCGGCTGCGTCACCGCCGCCCCCCCTCGCCGCCCCAGACAAGATGGACACCGCCGAGGAAGGTAAGTCGGTGGCGCCCGCGCCCTTGCTCTGGCGACCGGGTTCGGGCCGGGCCCGCGCCCGGTCCGCGGCGCTCGAGGCAGGCGGCGGGCGGAGCGGCGGGGGCGCCTCGGCTTGGGGCGGGCGCGTGGGGACGGCGGCACGACCCGGCGGGCGGGATGAGGCGCCCGGGCCGTTTGCCCGCCGAGCGGCGGGCTCGAGGGGCGGCAGGGAGCAGGAGGTGACCCCTTGGCGCCCCCGGCCGTTTCTCGCCCGCGCGCGCGCGCGCGGAGCGCAGGACCCCTACCTGGGCCGGGATCGTCGGGCTGCGGTGGCCGCGGACGGCGTGGCTCCCCGCCCCCTCTGTCCCGCCAGTCCCGGGTGGTGGGGGGGACGGCGCCGTGGTCGCTGCACGAAGTCTGGGGGCGTTTTCCACGCCCTTCCCCACTCGGTTTTGTCTTTCTTTATGTCGCTTTGCTCCTCGCTCTCCGGGCCCGACCCTTTCACGATAAAACTTCTTTGTTGACTGAAACTTCGCGAAAAATACCCCGCCAGGTGACGGCCTGGTGGAGTGAACTGACTCCGTATTTAAAAACCTTGCCCTCTGCTTGCGTGGCCCCTAGTTGTTTGTTTACTAAGCGAGGCAGAGGCAGAGCCACCGGGGTTATTCGAAGCAGGAAGGCTCTTTGTTTCGGTGTAGTTTATTTTGTGCTTAGTCTCTGGCACCAATAAGCAGAGTTTTGTGTGTCTGTTTTGCTTTGTGAGTGCGTGTGTTTTGGATGTGGCTGTTCTGGAACAAGCTGACTCTTGTGAACTGAATACAGAAGTGAAGACATGACTGAACATCTGTGACTATTGAAACGCATTTGCTGATCCCGCGAAGGTAGTTTTTAAGCAGTTTTATCTTTTTGGAGTTTATCGAATAATTTCGTGAGTCTATAGAGGAAATTCCTGATTGCTTTCCTGTTGTTGCGGTTATTGGTGAAGATACATTTATGGTTTGGGTTTATTATGTGGGGATATGATAAGCATCTTGCAACCTTACAGGTTGCGGTTTTGATGATTTTAGATGAAGATCGTTGGGGACTCTCGTGGTGTGCAGTAATGGGTGATGAAAAGTTTGATGTCTGTATATGTGATGCGTGGAGGGGATCAATTTATCATTTTTTTAAAGACGTCTTTCCTTCGATAGGAAGAACCTCAACTGTAATGATATTTGCATGTTATACTTGACAGTTTACAAAGCATAGTTACATGCCTTCACATTTGATCTAAGATCCCTATGGAGTAGGAAGGTATTATTATCTTTTATAGGTGTGGAAGTTAGTTTAGTTATTTTAATAGTTTGTCCAAGTTTCACACCCTAGTAAGAGAAAGATTTGAACCTAGGTATCCTGATTACACAGTTTTCCTTTCATTATGGCTCAGTTGTTTTTATTATGTGCCGTGAGTGAAAGGTAATCACCACAGGAGACTCCTTTGGAAAAAATAGTAAAGTGAAACTGCTGAGGAGGTTAGGAATTACTTTCTTTTGACAGGTGGTCCTAGTGTGTAAATTTCCATCTACATCCATACATCCTTTTGGATTCAAATTTTAATGACTCAGTCTAGTAATGCATGTGTTTATTGATTTATCAATTGATATATACTGGCATGTTTTATTAAGTTCTCATTCTTTGAGCTTAGGCACTTAGTAATTGCATACACTTATGGTATGATAGTGGTGATTCAGGAATTGCAGAATCGCAAAGCCGGAATCATGAAAGAAATATTTTCTGAGTGTTTCTAGTGCACTGCCCACCCCCCTCAGTCAGGGTGAGGTACAAATGATATTTATTTACTGACTTGAACACTGTTCTCTATTGAAATAACTGACATTTACTGAGGACTTGATGGATGGCATGTACTTCACTAAACATTTTATACACATCTCATTTAACTCTCCTAAGACTGTTAGGTAGGCACCATTCCCTTTTTACAGATGAGGAAACTGAGGGTTAGTATGATTAAACAACTTGCCCAAGGTCATACAGGTAACATGTCAGAGGCAAGATTCCAACTCAGGTCTGTCAGACTCCGTGGTTAAATTTATAAGTGGATACCCAGTGTCCAGTGTTGAGATGACTGTATTTTTGTCACTCCCTTTATAAGATGAATCATCTACATAATTTGACAAAGCTTTACTTTGCATTTGTTTTATGACACTGTTAGTCATGAAATGAAAGTGAATTTTAATACTGCTAATGCCTAATTTTGCAAAATTCCAAATTGGAAGTCTTCTGAAATTTTCAAAGTTAATGTAAATTTAACTTGAAAAAATGCTGGAAGAAAAGGGAGGATTACAGAAGGTTTCAGGATAAAAATGACAAAGTGAAGACACCAAAAAGCTTGGAAACTTCTGTTTGCTAAATGAGTTATTACAGGTTATTTCTTAAATTAAAAAATGCAATTGGGTTTTTGATTATAAAAGAAACTTTTTTTGGTAGGAGACTTGGAAAATATGGCTAAACATAAAGAAAATAAAAATTTTAAAAATCTTTAAATTTTATCACTTGTTAAAAACACTGATGATGTTGTTTACTTATCTATTTTTTATTATGTTAATCTGAGCAAACAAATCTGAAATACCAACCTGCAAAGAGATTGTTAAGCTCTTCCATCTCTTAAAAATGGCATGTTGCTTTCCTCTAATGGTACCATATATGATGTTACAATGTTCAGAATATTTCATATTTGTAGTAAACAAGACTGAATTCTATTAGAAAATTGGTTGTTTGCCAGATGGATTTTGACCCTTCATATTTTGTGTTTGCTAGGTATTAAAGATCTCTAAAGTGTTCAGTGTATTGTTTTATTTTTGTAAAATCAACAGTTTTATAATCTATTCTCATAATATAGCCATGCCTTGTTTTATTGTGTTCATTTTATTGAGCTTTGCAGATATTAATTTTTTTTTTACAAATTGAGAGTTTGTGGCAACCCTGCATTGAGTAAGTCTATAGGTGCCATTTTTCCTGAAGCAGTTGCCCACTTCATGTCTCTGTGTCACATCTTAGTAATTCTTTTAAATATTTCAGATTTTTTCATTATTATTATATTTGTTATGGTGATCTGTGATTTACTGTTGTAATTGTTTTGGGACACCATGAACTGTGCCCACAAAGACAGTGAACTTAATAGATAAATGTGTGTATTCTCACTGCCCCACCAACTTCTGTTCCCATCTCTTTTTTTCTCCTTGGGGCCTCCCTATTCCCTGAGGCCCAACAATATTTAAATTAGGCCATTTAATAACTGTAATGATCTCTAAGTGTTCAAGTGAAAGGAAGAGTCTCATGTCTCTCACTTTAAATCAAAAGTTAGAGATAAGTAAGATTAGTGAGGAAAGCATGTTGAAATCCGAGATAGGCTGAAAGCTAGGCCTCTTGCACCGGTTAGCCAAGTTGTGAATGTAAGGGAAAAGTTCTTGAAGAAAGTTAAAAGTGTTCCTGCAGTGAACACATGGATGATAAGAAACAGCCATATTGCTTATATAGAGAAAGTTTTAGTTGTCTGGAGAGAAGATCACACCAGCCACAACAGTCCCTAAAGCCAAAGCCTAATCCAGAGCAAGGCTCTAACTCTCTTCAGTTCTGAGAAGGCTGAGAAAGTTGAGGAAGCTGCACAAGAAAAGTTGAAAGCTAGCAGAGCTTGGTTCATGAGGTTTAAGGAAAGAAGTTGTCTCCATAACACCAAAGTGCAAAGTGAAGCAGCAAATACTGATGTAGAAGCTGCAGCAAGTTATCCAGAAGATCCAGCTGAGATAATTCTTGGTGGTCACACTGAAAAACAGATTTTCGGTGTACATGAAACAGCCTTATATTTGAAGCAGATGCCACCTAGGACTTTGATAGCTAGAGAGGAGACGTCAATGCCTGGCTTCAGACCTTCAGAGGACAGGCTGATTGTTACTGGGGCTCATGTAGCTAGTGACTTGAAGCTGAAGCCATTGCTCATTTACCATTCCAAAAATCCTAGGGCGCTTAAGAATTATTTTTAATGTACTCTGCCTGTGTTCGGTAGATGGAACAACAAAGCCTAGATGACAGCACATCTGTTTACAACATGGTTTACTGAATATCTTAAACCCACTGTTGAGACCTACTGCTCAGAAAAAAAGAAGGTTCCTTTCAAAATATTATTGCTTATTGACAATGTACCTGGTCACCCAAGAGCTGTGATGGAGATGTACAACAAGATGAGTGTTGTTTTCATGCCTGCAAACACAACACCCATCCTGTAGCCCATGGATCAAGAAGTAATTTCAACTTTCAAGTCTTATTATTTAGGAAATGCATTTCATAAGGCTATAGCTGCCATAGATAATGATTCCTCTGATGGATCTGGACAAAGTAAATTGAAAACATTCTGGAAAGGATTCACCATGCTAGATGCCATTAAGAACATTTGTGATTCTAACACAACATTGTAAATCAACTATACTTTAATAAAAAAAATAAAATTAAAAAAAACATTTGTAATTCATGGGAAGAAGCAAAAATGTCAACATTAATAGGGGTTTGGAAGTTGATTCCAACTGTCATGGATGATTTTGAGGGGTTCAGGACTTCAGTGGAGGAAGTAACTGCAGATGTGGTACAAATAGCAAGAAAAACAGAATTAGAAGTGGAGCCTGGAGATGTGACTGAATTCTGTAATCTCATGATAAAATTTTAACAGATGAGGAGTTGCTTTTTATGGATGAGCAAAGAAAGTGGTTTCTTGAGACAGAATCTACTCCTAGTGAAGATGAAATGAAAAGTTGTTGAAATGACAACAAAGCATTTAGAATATGATGTAAACTTAGTTGGTAAGGCAGGGGCAGGGTGTAAGAGGATTGACTTCGATTTTGAAAGAAGCTCTGTTAGGTAAACTGCTCTCTATCATCAAATATTTGAACTTCAGAGCTTGAGGAGATCTTAGATCTTCCTCATTTTATCGACTAGGAATCTGATCCTGCAAAGCACTGATATTTTTCAGTTTA